TGCCTTTAATTCAAGTAATATGGGATCTTTGTCTTGCTTCTCCTTCACTTTTGACACTAATGAAGATTCAGCCTCTTTTATCACAATAACTCTACCATCACTGGAATCTAACAAACAAACTCTAAAATGTGCAAGTTTATGAACTTCCTTAGCCAATTCTTTTTCTCTTACTCAACATGAGCAGTACTCTCATGGATATTTTGTTCAAATCATAAAGAAAACATGAGAAAACTTATTTACTAAAAAGCCCTATGGCCTCAGTGCTAGGGGGAAGCAACAAAGAAATTCAAAGTGCTAAATAGGAAATCGACAAAGGAAAAGGAACGAATAGTACCTTTTTAAAAGTAAGCTCATTAGCTAGGATTCCAATGTCTAGGTTTAGGCTTATTCATTGATTTGTGACCGTAGTTCTAGTCTTTCATAGGAAAGAAACAAGCCAAGTTGTTTTTTTGACAGGAAGTTCAATCATGGAGTCTGGTTTGGAATCATTATGTCATTTTAAAAGATGCAAAATAGCTTTTTAGAAAATATAACACGAGTATAAAAACGTACCCACTAGAACATTGGTATAATAGGTGGCTCGAGAGACCTCTATCATAATATAAGCTACGCTCGGAGAAACTTTATCCATAAATTAAGTTGAATGAGGTGATCAAGAAAGTCATGGGCCTCATAGTACCACATGTGACAACTATGTGGAGCTTTTTGGGTCAAAAATGTGTTTGTCGTCCGATTTGATATGAAAAACTTAATTTCACCATCTTTCCATACCTGGGTTATAGCGGATAACCATGTGATAATCCTTGAGCAACTCTATCCACCTGCTTTGTCTAAGATTAAGTTGTTTCTAACAAAAAACCTGGAGATTTTTGTGGTCGGTGAACACATCCACATGAATGGCGTAAAGATAGTGATGCCATATCTTGAGAGAAAAAACTACCACTATCAAATCGTGATCATTAGTTAGGTAGTTCCTCTCGTGAATCATAAGTTACCTTGGCATAGGCTATAAATTAAGTATTGTACATCAACACAAAACTAAGACCCACCATGGATGCATCACAATAGATGAAAAAGTCTATGTACCCTCTGGTAGGGTCAACACTATAGATATAGTTAATCGAGTTGTAAATTACTAAAACTTTACTCAGAAGCTTCAGACCACTGATATTTAGTTTTTGTCTGAGTCAAATAAGTCAATGGGCAGGAAACAGAGGAAAACCCCTCGATGAACCTTTTATAGTAACCAGCCAACCCCAAGAAACTTCTAATATCAGTTGATGATGTAGGTCAGGGACAATTCTATCCTACCTCAATCTTCTGAGTGTCGTCCAGAATTCCTTCACCAGACACGATGTAGCTTAAGAACGCCACAGATTCAATCATAACTCACACTTCAAAACTTGGCATATAAATCTCAATCTTTGAGAGTTTAGAAGACTATTTTTAGATTATTGACATGATCTTCCTCATTCCTTGAGTACATCAGGATGTCTTTGATAAATACAGTTACATACATATCAATATACGTCTTAAATAATCTATTTGTGAGCTCCATGAATGCTACAACAACATTAGTAAAACCAAAGTACATACAAAAAACTCATAATGACCATAGCGGCACTTGAATGTTGTCTTTAGCAAGTCACTTTCTCTCTCACTTTTAACTCATGATAGCCAGATCTGAAGTCTTTCTTTAAGAAGCAAGTGGAGCCCTGACGTCGGTCGAGAAGTTCATCAATTCTCGAAAGATGGTGGTTTTACTTTATGGTGACCTTGTTCAACTACGGTAGTAGATACACATCCTAAGGAATATTCCTTCTTTTTCACAAATAAGACAGGATCCTTCCAAGGTGAGACACTTGGTCGGTGAAACCCATATCAAAGAGATATTTCAATTGCTTTTTATACTTCTTTTATCTCAGTTGGAGACATTTAATATGGTGGAATAGAAATATGTTGAGTATTAGGAAGAATATCTATTTTGAAGTCTATTTCTCTCAGCGGGACTTCAGAAAGATCTTCTAGAAAGACCTCTGGCAACTCAATCCGAACTGGAACAAACTGAATAGACAGTTTCTCCTAGAGTTATTAACTCAGACTATGTGATAAATGCACCCCCGTAAAAACTAACTTTCTGGCCTTAAGGTATGAAATAGATGACCCGAAGGCACTATTGAACTACTTATCCACTCTAAAACTAGCTCATTAGAAAATTGAAACTTGACTACTCGAGTTTTACAATTGAATGAGGCATAACAAGCATCAAGCAGTTCATACTTAGAATAACATCAAAATCCGTCACGTAAGTTAGCGATGGTGTCTTTTTGATAGAGAAAGATGGTACAATTATGATAGACACTTTTTGCTAGAACAGACTCACCAACATGTGTGCAAACACTAAAGGGCTCAAGAAATTATTTGGGGGCGTCAAACCTCATGGCTACATAAGTAGTCACAAAAGATGAACTCACACTTAGATCAAGTTAGGCATAAACATCAATTGACAAGACTCAAAAATCTTATTGATACCAAAAACCACTTTTAAACACGTTAGACCGTTCAAAACTCAAAACTTCCAAAAATTAAATTTTTAAATAAAATTTCAAAATAAACTTCACAAAGTGATCAGAATTGACTCAGGGCAACTATCAGAGGGGTAAATAGTAATTTTACAAATAATTCTAAAAATACCCTTCTAGTCACAATTTGAGAATCGTGCTTCAGAGATCGAGGGAGAATTTGCATGATAAGTTCTCCATGTGTGATTTTTGGCTTGAGTCCATGTCCATTAGGGTCATGTGGTGATCAAAGATGGTATTATTGTTAATCTGATCAAAGTTGTCGTAGTTTAAATTAGTATAGGCTAACTTACCTTACCTAAATTTAGAGTTTAATCGGGTTATCAAGTTATTATTGTTCATTGTCAAGGATTTATCTTCCATTTCAACTTATTGTCTAGGTTGACTCAGATACCGTTGTATTTCAATGCACATATAAGTGTAAAGTAAACTTTTAAAATCTCAAATGAGTTGTTGACTTGGGCATTACCCAATGCATTAAATGTATATTTTTGTCCTAAACAAGTGAAATACATTGCGACAATATTTTTTTAGAAAGTGTTTTGTAACATTTTAAATACACTTCAGTATTCATTTGATTTGAGACTCGATTATTACTCAATTTTAATGGTTTATCACCCACAAACTCCTTTTTACTTAAGCGTTATGATTTTTAATTAAATTCATGTTTATTCCTTTTTCGATTTCAATGAGATTTTAGGTGATTTTGGTCCCGAATTTAAACCTTAATAATAGGGGTAATGTTGGAACCCTTTTGATGTGCAACTATCATTCATGATAGTTGGGAGTTGTTTTGAGGCCGTAGATGTGGGATTAACACCAGTAAGAAAATTCAACTAAAATTTGGCCTTCAAAGTAGTTTTGACTTATATTTCTTTCAGACTAAGTGGGTAGTTAACATACTTATAAAGTAGACTATGGGGTGAAATAGTAGCATCAGATTGAAATATTGGAAAAAGAGAGTTTATAAGTTTGTTTTGTGTTAGGGATTATTTATGGTGTTTTATCCATGTGGGGGATTATTTGTGTTGGCTTCCCATGAGAATGTTTTGGCACGACCCAAGGTACACCGTAGTCGTGACATGGCGTATAGGACCCCGAGAGGTTCCATACAAGCCACTTAGCATTCATAACATAAGAAATAGAATTAAAAAAATGAAGTACATTTCAAGTCCAAAAGTTTTATATAAGTAAAGCGGAAGTCTAAAACACTTGTCTCATTAGTCATCTAGTACAATAAAATGAAATTTGACCTAGCACATACATCATTTCCAAAACAGAAAGTAATAATGAAAATCCATCCTCGAAGAATGAGGACTTACCAAGGCTCAAAATCTCTCAAATCAACCTCTAGCCACGAAACTGAGAACCATGCCAATCAGACCCTATATTTGAGGAGATGTAGACAAGAGTATGTGTTTGTATAAAATATGTACCAAGTATGATAGCCATGTGTAACAACCTGGAAAAATATTTTGAGGTAAGAGTTGAACCATCCTTCATTTTGAGTAAGTTTTTACCAAGAAATAAAAATTTCTTAAGTGTTAAGGTTACTAGATATAGAACCTTGAGTTCCAAAAAGAACTAAAGAGAATTCATTCAAGTCATTCCTTAGTTGTTTTAAGTTTGAGGTCAACTACAAATGACCACAAATTTAGCACAAGATGAGTTAGTATACCCATCAGATATCAAATGAAAGGTCTTGTTATCCTCTTTCAAACACCATCGAGTTTGCTAATTTTCGAGCTCGTATGAGCGATATACGACTATTTGAAATCTGTTTGTCCAAATAAGGTAAGTTGCCCAAAATAATGAAAAGTATTTTAGTCTTTTTCTTACCAAATCAAATTTAAACGTTTTTAATAAGGTTTTAGGAGTCTAAACAGATTAGAATCATTTTCATTCATCCCCAAAGTGTTTAGGGTTTTAGAGAGAATATTCGAGAGGATCGAAATTTCAAAGTTTCAAGTGTTCGTTCATGAAATTCAAGATTTTGCCAAGAACCTAGTTCTTTGTGGTACCTAAGCTTCCATAGTGTTGGGTTTTCTCACCCACACGCCAGTCATGATTTTTTTTATAGCAAATCTATCCATATAAATCAAGCAATTTAATTTCTCTATGAGTTCTTGATAAGTGTTCTTGAAGTCTCCTTATCGATTAAGTTTTGATGTAAGATTCTACTTGGGCCAACTTCAAACAACCATATCTCTTAGAATATAAAGAGTTACTTGCGACAAAAAGCACATGCAAGTGCACGTGGTCACTTAACTAGTGCATCGACTCTTTCGAGTCAGATTATCGAACCCAAAGGACTTGAAATCAACAAATAACGATGTTCTTATGTCTAACTAAATTTACTCAGGTGACAACAATTTTAGAAGTTTTTTTATAGCTACTAACTAGACAAACTCACAAAATTACTATAATCAAATGGTTTCAAACAAGAGAATTTCATAATTTGGGAAGTATTCCAGAGTTGTAGCTTAGATCAATTTCTGTTAAAATATTAATTTATCCTAGCATTTTGGGTTCACCTCAATGCTGATTGGCAAGGTTCATTTTACGATCATAATCTCCCGACCTCTAATCGCCTACCTCCATCGACAACCTAACTTTATCGTTAAGCGGAGATAGACATGAACCAATGGTGGATCATTAAGCCTTCATCTTGCATATTAACCAAGCGTGGTATATAAGTATAATACTATCCTATATAAAAAAAACATTCTAGACTTTATCCTAAAATGAACACGCTACTCATATTCTTTGGTCTATCCCACTATTCATCTTTCGAGTTCAAGAGCGGGCAATGAGTTTATTTTAATGTTGATCATTCATTAAAATACTTAAACAAGAATGGAAGCACAGTTCACCAAATAAATCTTAAGAATCATACAAGGGTTTACCAAAGAAAAAACCCAAGAAGGTGTTAGCCAAATCGCCCAAAATAATGTAATCCCGTCTTTTTGGAACTTGATAATCATAAAAAGAACATACTTAAACTATTTATAGTCTAAAATAAAACATGTGGCCAATTTTTGGTGTCCAAATCTAAAATCTCTCCGCGACAAGATCCCAACGAGCACTCCATTGTTAAGTGGAGTTTCTTTTTTGCATACGAGTTTCAGATCCGCAACGCGGAGATGCACCCTCTTAGTGTATTCTCTAAATTCTTGGCCCTTTTCCTCCGCAACTTTGTCTTCTATTTTTTTACCTCTATCTAGGTGCCCTATTTTGGCTCGTTCTTCTTTGATTTTCACCCTGAAACATACAACAAAAGACTCTCAAATCATAATTTCGATAACAAAATTGGTCTCATACATAGCTATATATATGAGAAAAAATGGTTATTAAGCGCATAAATATGCCCGAGATCAAGTTTTGTAGCCCATAACATATCATATTAAAGGTATTTGCATCTTTTTCCGATGTCACCAATTTCACATTAATCCAACTTTTGAGTAAAAAGTTATGACTGTTTTAGTAACCTGATACAGTGTTGTTACGAATTAGCCGACGAAATAACATAAAAAGCATCGATTGTCTTTTTACCTCAAAGAAAATCCTAAATGAATTTCCTGACTAATAAAAGACTCAATACAATCAGATTTTTATCTTTTAATTCATCATTTTCTTCTCTCTAAAACCCTAGGGCAAATCCTTAATGAAAAGTCAAAGTAGAAGACTCCATTCAAGATTCTTTCAATTTTTTTCAATATTCTTCTTCAAAATAAGTCTTTCTCCAAGAATTCCATTCTTTTCTACTCAAATTCCTCCATCCAATTATGAATTACTGATGAAAATTATAATTCTCTTGACCATAGAGATCTCAAGAAACTAATTCAAGAATCTCAAGAAAGGTTTTCGTGGTCATTTATCTTCACGCTAGGGTTTCAAGGCTTTTAATCAAGTTTTTCAGTATTCTTCCTTCCAGGTATGTAAGGTTATCATAGTGTTGCAATAGTTCTATCTCACGCCTTACATCTTCTTTCAAATCAGTAAAAGAGAAATCTTGAATTCTACCCCTGTATTTGAACATTCTTGAGATAAGTTGATTTGAGTTATTGAGTTCATGGTTCTTTTAAAAATTATATTCCTAATTATTGAGTTTTTATATTTTCATTGAGATCTTTGAGTTGCGTTGTTCATACTCCCAAACTAAATACTAGTAGCTCAATTTAAACTAAATACTAGTAGTTCAATTTAAATTGTGGTCCTGAATTCATGAGACAGAAATAAACTCTCTAAAAATAATTGTTTAGAAAAGCGGTAGAGAAAAAACTGACTAAATTTTATCTAAAACTTAATGCGAATAACTTGAGCAAAATTCATAGAGAAGAGCTAATTCATGTGAAAATACTACAATTACTAGCTAAGTTCTTTTCCTTTCAAATCTCCATGAGAATTCATGCAAACTCATTTAAATAAGTATTAAATCGAGTAGTAATCACAAGAATCAATTTTGTAGAGAATCTACATTGTTGAGCAAGAACCCTAGTTTCATAAAATCATAATAATCAAAAAAGGAGTCTTACGTTTTGGGCATTGGGGAGAAAAAAACTCTTAATGAATACTCACATATCTAGTGGAGAAAACTACAAAGAAATCCTTTGAATCTCGAGGTTGAACTTGAAGGAAAACATTGCTTGTTTTAGAGAGAAAACTATCGTCTGATTCTCTTCTTTTATTTCTAAGTCTGATGATTTTAGGAGAATGAATGTGTTAGGTAGTTTTTGCCTAATTAATTAGGCTTAGACAAAGTAAAACAAGAAAGCTTAAGTACCAAACGCATAGGGGGAGTATTAATATGACGACGACAACAACAACAACAACATCATCATCAGCAGCAGCAGCAACAACAACAACAATAGCAGCAACAACAACAACTAATTAACTCTTTTTATTACAAGTGGCGTTGTCTTCGGGAATACTGCCCAGGAAGCCCTGGATTGTGGTTCATGATTTCCTTAATAGGTTGTGGAACCCTAAACGGCCCATGTAGGGTGCCGTGAAGGGTCAATGTCCATTTTGGGTTCCGTCGACTTGTCCTTTTGTCCTTTTTATCCTTTTCTCAAAGTATGAGGTGTTACATAAACTAGATATCTATGTTAATGGGGAAGTTCAAAAGTCACAAAGATAGTAAAAGTAGATCATTTCTCTTTAATACTAAGGGAGAGATATTGTAATATCTTTAAAATTTCTAAGCTAAGACCTGAATCATTCTTCATATATGTATAGGGTTGTACGGGGTGATTCTTAATCATCCATAGGTGTTAAAGTCAATTCTTTTGTGTGGGAATAGATTAGTAGATGAATTAAGGTCACAAGGATCCGCTAGCACTAAGTTGAGTTGAAAGCTTTCTTACTAATTGAATTTCGATATAACATTTTACTTGGGTCAACTTCGAATGATAAAATATCCTAGAATATGAAGAGTTAGGTGGTTCATAACCTATCAATTAAATGTCTATGAATCATTTTTTCAATGCCACCAAATTTGCATCAATTTAAGTCCACAATAAAATGTTATGCATGTTTAAATGAAGTCATGTTATGCTGTCGCAGTTTTAAGGTATTACGGACCGTGGAGAAATGTCCACACTACCTAAGCATTTCACTTTAAGCAGCTTGTGTGGGTTCCACGGACGATCCCAAACTCTTCTTATGTTTTTGTTATTATATAAGAAAATTACAACAATTTTATTGGATAAAATGGCCAATTAATCTATTTCCTTACTTCAATTCTTTGTGTCTACTCTTATGCTTATGTCATGTCCATGTTTTTTTTTTTGAAAGACAATTATATCATGGCCGTTATATCGGATAGTGGAGTCATTTAAATAAATTAGCATTTATTTCATTAGGAGTTATTTTTTAATAATTTTCAGTAAATGAAGAGTTTCTTTAGAGTTTTTAGCTCCACACCAGATCATCAAAAACAAAGTTGATTTAGTATCACACAAATATATATTTCATCTATCCTAAATTATATGACTTACTTATTTTAAAGTTAGTTTCAAAAAGTATGCCATATTTTTATAATTAATAATAATTTAACTTTAAAATACTCATTTATCCTTACTGAAATGATTCTAGCCACATAATTATCTATGACTTAATTCATATCAAGTTTCAAAGTCTTTCTTTCTTTCTTAAATTTCGTGTCAAGTCAAATTAACTCATATAAATTTAGACTGGGGGAGTACAACTTGTTGCAATTATTTTAATGAATAATTTTAAAAATTTACAATGTTAATAATATTTGAAAGTATTGATTTTAGACTTAATGATATGATTTACTATCATATATATACATCTATACAACTTATTTTAAAATAAACTTAAATTTATATTTTATTTATTTATTTATTTATTTATTTATTTTTTTGGGGGGGGGGGGGGATGAAAATGTTTCCTTCATACCAAGCACACTCCTAAAACATGTGTAATGCATTTTAAACAATGTCAATACTAGTACATACTGTTATTTACTATCCAAATATAAAATTAAACAAATAAAAAATATAATTATGATTAACAAAAGAAATGTACACTTAAAATCGATATTTTTTAGGACCATAGACTTCACATTTTCAATTATAAACAAAAATAATTAGTTTTTATAGAACAACATATAAATGAAGAGAAGTTACAATATATTTGGTAATATCATGAATTTTGAGTGAATAAAAGTTAAAAACTTAACTCATTCGGCTAATCCATATTTACCCATATGTTTATGGGTTGAATATTGGTATCAACCTATATTTTACCAATATAAAAGGTCACTCACCCAACCCATAAAATATGAGCGGATTACCAAAATATGGGCTCATTTTACTGTATTACAAATAAATATTATATTAATGAAAGAAAATTTACAACAAAAACTCTCCACATTTTTTTATTTGTTTGTCTCACTTCTAATCATGAAATGATAATTATTATTTTAAGTATTTTTCTCTTTATTTTTTAAAATTTATTAACAAGGAGTTATTACCAATAACTCACCCCTCTTTAATTTTTACTTTTAAATAATTTTCATAATTTTATGTCTATAACCTCCAAACTTAAATATGTAAATTTATGATGTCTTACGGTATTACTCTATTTTGCCTATAAATTCATATTAGTTTCATGAAGATTCACATTTAAAATTATCCTTTCATATTGGTTTGGTTTGTACCGATAAAGAAAGTACATGAAGGTAAGAAATATTTCTCCTCAAGTCTTTATTTTTTCATTTCCTCTATTTTATCTATATATTTGGTTTGTGAGTGAAACTAACATGTAACCAAAAAATAAAATAAATGAAGTTAATAAATATTTCATTCCCAAGCCCTTATTTTTCCAGTTCCTCAATTTTTTATAAATAAATTCATATTTACTTTCATGAAGATTCAAATACTAAATTATTATTTCTCTTCTTCATCATATCTGTTTGTGATTTAAATAACATGTAGCAATAAAAGAAAGTACACAACGGTAAGATATATTTCATTCTCAAGTCTTTCTTTTAATTTCTATATTATTGGACAAGTTGTTTAAATATTTTTTTATGTTTGTATTATCATTGATCAAACAAGTATAATTTTAAAAAATATCTTTATAATTCTTAAGATGTGTTATAAGTATGTAATTATTCTTTCTAATGGCTAATTTTTCAAATATAATATAGTTTGATGATAATATTTGTTAGATTTCACGAAATGATTATTATGTAGTATTGTTAGTACTATTGAAAAATAATATTCAAAATATGTTACATATAATTTAAATTTTTTTGTTTCTTTTAATATAATTATTTTTTAATAAGTAGATGATATTTTATTATTTTTAATTCAATTGATTGTATATGAGGAAGAGTATAACATATGGAGCAAAATATGGTGGCGAATCTACTTGCAAATTAAGATGATATATGGGATAAAAATGAAGCATTATTATTATTATTATTATTATTATTATTATTAAAACGTAATAAACACAAGTAGCGACATTCTCTTAAAGCTAATTAACTCTTTTTATAATAAAACTCAATTAAGGAAAATATTTAACAGTCATTCAATTATAATTACTCCATTATACATTATTAATCTTTTCATTACAAATGATTTTGCCAACTATAATGCACGCATTCTGCCTTTTTCATTCATAACTTTCTTTTCAATTCTTTTTTTTTTTTTATTTTGCTTTTTCCTGTAGAAGCTTTTTTAATTTGAAGAAGTTTATTTTTTTTCATTTTTTGTTTTCTTTATATATATTTTTAAGTTTTATCATTAGTGGTATTGTCTCCATAATTAGTAACTTTGTATGCAATGTTTTCATGCCTGATTTTTATTTGTTAGAAAATGGGAGAGAGCGACATATATATGATCTTATTTGCGAAATGAATTCGTTAAGATCAAACTTGAAGAATATCAATTATTAGCGATATATCAAACTTTTATCGAGATATGTTTTTCTATCACAAGCTTATATATAGTTATAGTGTTACTTCAAATGTAACAAATTTTAATAGTCCTATGGCAAATGTCCTGTTTCAATTTAATCAATAATTATGTCAAGTTATATCATATTATTATTATTATTATTATTATTATTATTATTATTATTATTATTATTATTCACAAACAAAATTTCTCCTTGTACGATTTCTGAATGCTCCCAAAACAAGTAACATATGCAAAATATATATATATATATATATATATATATAACATCTCAAAACAAATTATATATGAATAAAAAATAAAATCTTAAAGAATATTCTCAAAGTTTCTCACACTTTCTATAATTTTTGAAGTTCCGATAAAGCTTTCTTCTTCTCTTTAACAAGAGAGTTTTCTTTAATATAAGAATTCTTTGTGTATAAATTAGTTGATTTCTTCATCTTCATTTTTTTTTGTTTCAGAGAGAACCTATTGGTCTTGTCGTAATAATTGGAGAAACTGATTTCTGAAACATAATTTTGGGGTTTGAATAAAATAATAAAAGTTTAAAAATATATTTTTAAGATTTTCTACGTATCTAAAATACCTATAATTTTTTTGTCCATTCTACTAAATTAAATTTAAATATCATTGCAAGCCACATTTAATATGAAAGCCAACATATTAAAAGTTTATTGAACATAATTTTAGTTGAGTTCAAATCAAATCAAGTAGGAGCATTTTTCAATATAGTTCATAACATAACATTTTAAGTGTTTTTTTTAAATAAACTATAATTGTAAATTTGTTATAAATCCATTGAATAAGTAGATAGTCCGTAAAGTTAGTACATGAACAACCATTCATATTCACTAGGTTTCATGAACTTTTTTGGATAAGAATGTATCTATTTATTATGATATTTAATATGGTGACTTTTGGAGTGATTTCTCACACTACAAATAGGGTTGTTTATTCACTATTGTAATATATACATACGAGACTTACATATACTTGAATAAGAAAAGTACTCTCCTCTATCTTATACTTCTTGTCTTCTTCTTCTTATATAATATTCTGAGTTTTCTTTATAACATGTTATCAGCACGAGTCTCTGCTAGTTCAAGTCAAGACTTTAAAAGCCTCGGAGGTATAAATATCTTTTTCTTAAATAATGTCTAATCTTTCTAAACTTGAATTTCTTGCTCTAGACATATCGGGAAAAAACTATCTATCATGGGTACTCGATGCAGAAATTCATCTTGATGCGATGGGTCTACAAGACACCATCCAAGAAAATAATCAAGTATCGAATCAAAACCGTGCTAAAGCGATGATATTTCTCCGTCATCACCTTGATGAGGGTTTGAAAATGCAATATCTCACTGTTAAGGATCCTCTGGTGTTGTGGAACAATTTAAAAGATAGATATGACCACCTGAAGTTGGTCGTCCTTCCACAGACACATTATGACTAGATCCACTTAAGGCTTCTAGATTTTAAAGCTATCAGTGAGTATAACTCTTCCATGTTTAAAATTATCTCACAATTAAAATTATGTGGAGAAAATATCACTAACCATGATATGTTGGAAAAAACGTTTTCCACTTTCCCTGCCTCGAGTATGCTTCTGCAGCAGCAATACCAAGAAATAGAATTTAAAAAGCATTCCGAATTAATTTCACATCTCCTTGTTGTTGAACAACATAAATACTTACTGATGAAAAACCATGAAAGTCGACCTACTGGTTCTATGTCATTTCCTGAAGTAAATACAGTAAGTTTTTACCAATCTAGGCGTGAAAAAGGTTGTGGCCCCAGTCGTGGCCGTGGTTGTGGTCGAGGAAGAAATTTCAATCATGATGATCTGTAACGACCTGTTTAGTCGTTTTGAGCAGCAGATTTTATTTCTGGAAAATTGGCTGAAACAACGGAACCCACGACGGACCGTCACAGGCACGACGGTCCGTAACAGATGTCTCGTTTCAATATACTTAGGAATTCTGAAATTGGGTACTGAAAATCGACTCTCTGAACTTCGTAACGGACTTGCAGGACGGACCGTCACAGGTGTGACCGACCGTCACAGGTGTGACGGACCGTCACAGTGTCCTTGGTGAAAATAAAGTCCTGGACCTCACGACGACCTGAGTGACGGACCGTCGCAGTCACGACGGCCCGTCACAGGTTACGCAATCCCAGTTAGAATCGGATTTCTTTACACGTTTTAAGGGACGTTTTGGACTATTCTTTCCTTAATTATAGATTTCGTGGGTTTACATTAATAACTCAAAATTCTTGAGGGATAAAAGAGGTAATTTTGGGTTAATTAGTGGGGTATTATTGTCATCTTTTACACTTAGTTATATATTAATTAGGGTAAAAGAAAGAGGGTTTTGAATAAGAAAAGAGAAAAGAAAAGAGGGAGATAGATTGATCGATTGAGAGAGAGAGTCGAACGAGGAAGAAGAATATCAAAGATTGGGAGATTGCTTGTTGATTCCAATTCTTCGGTGGAGGTAGGTTATGGTTTCCCTTACGATATTCGTAGTAAACTCTTAATAGAGAATTATATGTATT